TCTACTAAATATGACTTTCCCTACAGATCTAAAAAGCCTCTATCCAACCTTCTGAGGATAGCTTTGCTTTTCTCCTTTGAGACAATGCTGTTTGCCAGCCCTACCCCATAAGTTGCATCATACCTTGATTGCAAGGCATGGGCAAAAGTGTGTCTTCAGCAGCACTGTATTCCCTGATTTTCGTCAGGCTTTATAAAAATTGCCACACGCACTTTTTTTTTTAGGTGAGAAACAATGTAGAACAAAGTGCATTTTAAAAAAAGCTGTAAAGCATAGTAGTCTGTCGCAATAATGTTCCCAATGAAAATGTAGGTCTCATTCTCCCTTGTATTGATTCTCCAGTACACACATATCCTCCATTCCTGTTGATTGAGCCCAGCAAGCTGATTTTTTGGTTAGCTTTGTCAATGGTCTTTCTTCACTCCCATGCAGTCTGGGAGCTGGACTACAGATATAGGACAGGACGTGCAACCTTTGTGGCTGATGATTTAATGACAATGGAGAAGGGATGGTCAATTTGGGAGCTTTTTTCTGCATGCGCGGGAGCAAAATCAGTGTTTAAACCATAGGCATTTTATCCCTTAATCTTTCCAAGGATCAGGCTAATTTTGTTGTGATTCAGGAGCTTTTGAGGAATAAAGCAGATATAAATGCTTACAGCATCCATTTCAACCTTTAGCCCTCCTACGGAAAAAAATCAAAATGAGTTTTGTGGGCTGTAGGTAGGGTGTTGATGGCTGCATGTAATTTAGGTCAAAGGCTGCCTATTCTTTATGTAGATACTCTTTGTGGAAACACTGGAAATGAAGGTCTCCACAGAGGCTTTTTTTCCCTTCCCAGCTGCTTATGGACTGTCTGAGTTTTTATCTCAGAGTCCAGGAGGGTAGCAGCAGCCAATGAAACAGCTTCAGAGAACCTCATAGAGCAAATCAGTTGCACTGTGTTCTTTCATGTTGGAACCAACCACAAAGCTGCAACAAAGCTTTTGAGATAGGACTCTGTCCCTAATTGATAAATGTGGATGAAAGGCAGCCTGGATATCTGTTTGTTCAGTCATGGTGATGGTGGATGTGAGTCAGCAACACCAAACTGTCTCTTTTTCTAGAATATCTTGTGCAAAATAGGAACTTGTCTCTGACATTGCAAATCTCTACTATCTTTTTACTGAACAGATGCCTCCCTAAGTAAAAACATTTTCTGTATTCTGAGAAACCCCATCTTTTACTCTTAGGTAACTATTTCAGGAGGCATCTGGGCAACATTTCAGCATACGTAGCCAGGGCTTCTTTAGTTGGAGATGAAAATCACAGATGCAACTTGCTTGGCCAAAGGCAATCTTTCAGGTTGCAAATCTGTTTAACCACTGATCTTGTTTATACAAGAAACCCCCTGGGCTACTTGGCATTTTGATAAAGCAACTGAATGTGGTGTACTTCTGAAGACACCATCATTTCACTATTTTTAGGCCAGTTAAATATTTTAAACCTGCCTTGTTTTTTTTCCATTAGAAATAGATCTAGCTGCTATCAGTTGAATCTGTTGATAATGCTTTTGTTTTTGCATCAATAAGGAGCTAAGACTGATATCCTTTTAAAATAACAACCAGGAGGTCAAGAGAGGTAGCTATGGACCAGCAGCCAAGCTGATTGGGAAGTCTGGGGAGAATCCAGGTTTCTGAAGGGCATCAGGTTGAGGGAAGCGGTCCAGTGGGAACGTACTACAGGTAGCTTCTCTGAAAGTAGCTCTCAATCCAAATAATCTCTTAGGGATTTCATTTTTCTCTCTCATCATCTGCTTGGAGAGGGCTCTATTCCAGATAAGGTTTGATACTGTCTGGGGATGAACAGCCTTTAGCTTGAATTCTTTTTTTTTGAAGAGTTCTGTCACTTGAAAACTATCTTGAACGTTGATCCCGCAAAACATGTTCTTTTAATAGGTTCCTGGATGAGAATTCCTTTAGGAGAGTGTAACATGTATAGTGTGAGTCCTGGTTGGGATGGGAAGGCAAGGCTTCAAGCAGGCCTTCTCTCCCCTCCCAGCTGCCTTTTGAGTAACAAATAATAGAAGGGCAGGGAGGGAGAAGCCAGGTGTCCAGCTCTGCCCAACTCAGCCCAAAGCCACTCATACTCTCTTCTGACAGGATCTTGGTGCTCAACTATCTGGGACAGAAGGGAGAGGAGGCTGGACTGGTGGCTGCCATGACCTGCTCGGTGAGCTGGGACTCATTTGAGACAATCTACTCCCTTGAGCGGCCCCTCAACCAATTCCTCTTCAACCAGTACCTCACAGCCAACTTGTGCAACTTGATCAAAAGGTGAGTGCATATTATAATGGGACCTTGCTTGGCTCAGGACTGGGAAACTTAAGCAGACGAGTCCCAGCTCTGCCATCTCAGGCAGGTATTACTGCTACCTTCCAGGAAGTCTTCCTTCTCTCTCCCACTAACCCTCCTCTTCTTCCAGGCACAGAAAGGTCATTGAAGAGAGATTGGATGTAGACCATGTACTGAAGGTACCACAACTCCACTCTCCCAACCTGTCCTAGGCCTGAACTCTGCTCCATGCCTTGACCCTTATGCTCTCTCTCTCTCTCTCCCTGGTTTGCTCTCCCAGGCTCGCAGCATCCGGGAATTTGATGAGCGCTATACAGCTGTCGTCTTTGGATACAAGTCATGCCAGGAGTATTACCAGGCAGCCAGTCCCTGCCAGAAGGTGTGTCGCATCCACGTGCCAGTGCTGTGCCTGAACGCTTCAGATGATCCCTTCTCCCCTCAACATGGTGAGTCCTATACTTTCCTTGGGGTAGAGAAAGGCCACTAGGGAGCCTGCTCTAATTTGTTCCATTTTCTTCCAGCTATCCCCATGGAGAGCGCTCAGCATGTGCCCACCCTGGCCCTCTTAGTGACTGCACGAGGTGGCCACATTGGCTTCCTGGAAGGGCTCCTACCTCGCCATCAGAGCTACATGGACCGTGTCTTTATCCAGTTTATGGATGCTGTTTTCAAACATCAAGAGGAACTGGCAACTGTAGTAGCCATGCAAAGCCAACAGCTTGGACAGAACTTAAATACAAAGATAACCAGCACATGATCAAGAGCCAAGATGGTCCTCCTTCCCCATACAGAGGGATGGTGTGAATGTGACCTCCCTTAGAGAGAGGGGACGCCTCTGAGGCAGAACTGATGGCACTACCATGCACAGTGTCCCTTCTGTCCTCCTGGGATACGTGTTTCCTTTCCAACGGACTTCTAGCCAGAATCTGCTGCTATAAATGGCAAGCACAAATGACCTTGGAGATCCTGCAATGACGATCAGCAGAATACAGGATTGTTTTCCTAGTATTTTGGCATATGGCTGTTCCAAGCGAAGGAGCCTTCAGCTGTTCCCTGTTTTAATACCTCCATCCTGGAGTGTCCTGTACAGAACAGTTCTGTGTACCTTTCTCTAGGAAAATATTTGGCTAAAATTTTAGGCAAACTGCGGGTGAAATAGTTGGTTTTAAACTGTTCTTGAGGCCACATCTTAAAATGACACTCTGCAAAAAAGGAGGTGGTTACCAGACACTTCATCCTACAATTCCCTGCCCCTTTTTCAGCCTGAATCTTTCCCAACCAGCCTCTGCTGCAGTTGGGAAGGTAACTCGTTCGATACTTTAATACCATTTTCTGGAACTGTTTTTGCCTTGGGGAATGGTTAATAGTGTTTGGTCCTTTTCCTCCTCTGAAACAGTCAGCTATGAAACCTGGATCAATCTTATCCAGGAGAGGGGCTGTTATTTTGGTTTTGGTAAAGGTATAGTTCCCTTGGTCAAGCCTGAATCCTGCTGATTCGTGGCAACACAGTGGGAGTGGTTTGCCATTGCCCTCTTCCAGCATGATTTTTCAGTTTCCTGGTCTAGCCAACAACTCTGCAATTTCCTGGTGGTGTCTCATCCATGTACCAATTGAACCTGCCTTACCTTTCCAAGAACAGCCAATTGTTTAGTTGCTGCCATCTTCTACAATAGCTTTTGGTACCTAGACCAAATCAGTCCATATCCAGTAAAAGCATATATTTCTTTTTCCCAATAAGCTGCAAAACTGGGTTATTTCATTATTATACAATTGAAAAGATCACACAAACAGAATGAAATTATAAAAGCTGGTCATTTAGCAAAAAAACCCAAAACAAAACAGTTACTGTTCCCCCTGCTTTCAGCTACCATTTCGGAGACTCATGGAACAGGAAAATAGTGCTACTATATCGTAATACATATCTCTTGCTCAAGTTCCCCCCAGTCAGGAAATATGGTTGCAAGCAAGCATAGCTATAGCCTGGATATATGTTCACTGATTCAACTCTTAAATATTGGGCCGGTGAAAGATCTGCTGCCTAAACCCCTGGAAATCATCTGCCTATCAGCAGACAAAGCCCTGGTACACAGACTACTTGTCTGCATAACAGACAATGTTATGTTCTCTCTGTAGCTTCTGAATTTTTTAAAGAAACTTCACTCAACCACCATTATCATGGAAAGCCAAGTTATATATTAGGGCAAATGTAGACTTAATTGCAGACAGACTGAGTTCACACATTGTTCTAGGTGATGACTTCCTGAACTGTTATTTACCAAGCTACAATTTTCTAGTTTCAAATTGTCTAAGAGAAAAACTGAAGAAGCTGTACAGTATAATGTGTAAACTAGGGCAAAGAGTGGTGGAACTTTTCACATGCTCTGAAGGACTCTGATCTTGCCAAGTTGAGGTTCCCCCAACCTTCTTATTTTCCCTGCCATAAAACTTGATGCAGGAATGTATCTGATATATGGAAGAATTAACTAAATAAACATCACCAACCACATAGAAGTTAAAGGCACATTCTTGAATTCACTGTTGCAGTTGTATAACGTGCTTAATCCAATGACTGAATTAAGCAACTTTTTGGTTTTGTACTACACTGAACCATTATCTAGCCAAATAAGTTGAGCACATAAAGCCAGCACTAAGAAAACTTCACATGGTGTGGTAATGCAGCCATGATTTAGTTAGTTAAGCATGGTGAGAACACAACTAAAAACGTTTTTCTACTAATATAAGAATTACAGTATATATGAAGGCCGTGTTGGAGCAGACCAACTGTGGCTGATCCTCAAAGGCTACCCTGACAAAACGCAGGCGGCTTTCTCTACAATTAAGGACAAGAAACTTCAACTTTCAGTTAATTTCATTTTCTCAGTTATTGGCTCATTCAATTGAGAGACTGTACCTGGACTATCAAGGAAGATTTATTCCCACCTTTTCTTCCCTGATAAAAACAAGCATTGATGGAGGATGCAGAACCACCTATCCTAGCATTCCTTTCAGGCTGTGACCATTTTGACTAATTTTTTGAATTGGCAAATCCCAGCTTACCATATTAACAGTCATGATTCTCACATCTACAAAAATATGATAACAACCTCTGCGATTTTAAAATAATTGAACAACTACAGGATAAATGACATATCTCCCAAGTCGCAAAATAAGAAATCAACCTAATGTAAGAGGGGAGAGAAAATTTACACTGCATGGAGAAATCCATACTGGAGAACACTTGGGGCCAGATGTGAGGAGGGACCCTTAATTGGTGAAGTCCTCAGTTTTTTCATGAGAACAGCTACGGTTTGCTAACATAAGCAAACTGTAAACAGAGTATGCATGCACATAAACACAAACCGGCACAAGCATCCTTGCTCTCTCCATGTGTATATTCACAGTATTTTAGAGAGATTCCTGCAGTCAAGCTGTAGATGTTCTCATCCTGAAGCCTTGCTCAAGAGGGAATTCCAAAATCCCTAATCCTCTCTATCCCTTCCTCCTCTTATACAGCCATGGCAGAAAAATAAAAAATAGCTTCATGCCTGCTAGACCTGGGAAGGCAGAACTATCATCCCAAATGGCAACGCCTTGGTGAGGCTTCATGAAGCAGCCGCAGCCTCCCTCATTTCTGGCCCCAAAGAACCCCCTTTGCAATTATGTCCTCCAGCTCTGTCCAGGCCAGAAGGAAATGGAGAAGTAACCAACAAGGCAGGCAGGAGAGATTCTGCTCCATCATTGAGTTTAATAATCAAGGTGTTCAAGCCCTGCGCTTAAAGAGGAAACCTCTGCTCAGAGCAAACAAAGTTGGAATGTTTCTTGCAGATCAATCAAAAATGGAGGAGTATAGTTCCCCCATCCCCATTCAGTGTGATGGGGTTAGACAAGAAGAGTTCAAGGCCAAAACTTGATCAATGTGAGGCATGGCCTCCAGCCTGGCCAAGTCCGCCTGACCACACACTCTGCTACGGCCACCCTTGCCCTGGCTTCTGAGTCCGCTCTCCAGTCTGTGGGGTTAAAAAGGAGAAGATGCGTCCCTTACAGAAAGAGCAGAGAAGGTCCAAGCTTTCCAGGAACCTCACCATGAAGAAAGATTAGAGGAAGCCTGGGAAGGCCAACTGCAGTAACAGGACTGTGCCCACAATCAGCCCAGCACAGAAGAGCAGCAGCAGCCAGACGGGGAAGCTCCCTGTGAAGAGAAAGAGCACTGAATCACCAAGAGGTTGTAGGAAACCCCTTACTGGCAGAGCAGAACTCCCAACCCACACTTAAATGCATCCTCCCAGCTTTGAACATACGCCGGCAGGCAATCTGGTGCAGGCGGCAGCGGCTGTCAACCGCCACACTTAGCAGCGCGGCCTCGTTGCTCTTGAGCAGTTCAGGAGTCTCAGGCAGGAAAGCCACAGCGGTGACCACTATGCCATGTGCTTCCCGTACGTAGTACAGCTTCTGGGGAAGTATAAAGGAACACATCTTTGGATTTAGCCCTCTCAAGAGTGAAGGTAATCCTCCCCTTTCCTTTGGCCTTATTTATAGGGCCTGCTGCAAGGTCTCGCAGCTGCACACACAGCAGCCCTACTCCAGCCGTGAGTTTGACCCATCACAAGTATCAACATCTTCACCCCTCACTCCAACAATGGCTTGTGCCTTGGCCAGGCTTTGTGTGTGCTGGGGCTGGCCCAGCTAGCTCAGTATATATACACAACCTTGGAGCAGCAAACTCATACCTGTAAAGAAAAGGCGACGAAGATGGCAACCGAGCCTGTGACGGTACCCAAACCCAGGAATGTGCCTGTCTCACTGAAAGCATAGAAAGAGAGCCATGTGCACTCCCCGTGATACTCATGCACACAGATACATAGAGAAATGTGTTTCAGAGGACTAAGCCTTGAAATATCTGAACTAACTCTTCTCTTCCAGATGTCTGCAAAGTTCCTTCTCATTAATCCCATTGGATAAACGGATTTGAGAGGCTGCAGTTTGCTAATAAGGAGGTTCAGCTCCTTTTTGGGCAGCCACATAACATCACCAGTTTACAACATATAGGCTATGTTCATATGACACAATGAACCACAAGTGACCCAAGCATACTTTAGCTTAGCATGTTCTGCAAATCCAGTCTATATGGTTAAATTCATGGTTTGGTGTATTGTGCAAATGCAGAAAATTTGCACCAAAGCATTGTTTAGTCATCCTTAGGTTAAGGGTGTTATGCAAACAGAACCAGGGTTCCTCTCTCTTCTGTGAAGGAGGAACACAGAAAAATAATGCATAAAAGGGAAGTTCTCACCTGACACAGAGGCAGGAGATGACCTCATTGCCACAGGGACGGGTGAGCAGGGGCAAGAAACTATGTCCATCCCACTTGGTGATGTAGCAGGGGAGTGGACGTCGCTCACGCTTGTAGGGGATCTGCACCGTGTACAGTCGCAATGCCTTGGCTTGGTCTTCAACTGTACCAAACCTGTGGCAGAAGGGAGAAGTATCCAAATAGAAAACATACATGTATGGCCCAGACCAAATGTCCTGGTATTCCTCTTACCTGCAAGACTGATAGCGGTAGGCCTTGTCTGGAATGCCTGGAAGATTTTCATTCCAACGCAGACCCGTCACCATCTGATCTCGTTGCCACACACAACACTGGAAGTCCCGTCCCACTGTCACCACCTGTAGAGATGCAATACTATGAGCAGCCATGCTTCCCACCACAGCCACCACTACTATCTCTTGCCCATAAAAACAATTCCAGCCAGTCTTTACCTAGACAAAGGTAGAGGAGTTCCCAACTCACTGTGCTTCATCAAGCCTTTTAGATAAGAGCGACCACTATAGTCAAACTGTTCTTTGTCTTATGAGTCTTGAATAGGGGTTCTGTGTTCTCACATATTTGCTTGTCTCTGAATGTTTTCCTCTCTTCTATGGTTCCTTGGAACTAACAAGGCTAGCAAGCAACCAAAAATCTGATACTGGTACCTGTTGGATTTGAAATCCCCAGCTTTTAATGTATGCACATTTCATACCCAGCAGCAGGGGGTTTGTGACATGTCTCTGGCAATCTCTGCTTTTAAAAACCTATTTCTTTTATTTTGATTTCAGAAACAGTTCTGTGTAATGGAAAGCTTGCTCCAAAGACTTTAAATACTGCCTAATTATTATGGAAATAATTGCATTTTCTTTGCTTTCTATGCCTTTTCTTTCTTGTCTTTTCTTTGTCAGCCTTTTCTTACTCCAGAAAGTAGCAGAAAATGCTGTGGACTGTCAGAGGCAGCTACATAATCCAGTGACGCTCCACTCCAAGGCTATTCAACTTGCCTAGATGAAGAAAGATATATAATTCCTTCACACTCTCTTTCACATTACTTTCTCAAACAAAGACTATTCATCTATAACACTAAAATATGATTTGTTTTACCCTGGTTAACTGACTAATCTATAATTGCCTAGATTCACATCAGTATGAAAGCCAGCTGGGTGACTTTGGGCCAGTCACTCTCTCTTAGCCTAACCCACCTCATGGGGTTGTGGTTGTGGGGAAAATAGGATGATGGGGACCAGGCTTGGTATTCTGAGGGTGGCCTATGGCCTCATTGGACAAAGTAATGATACAAAGCGAAGAAAGAGATCTTCTGAGGGTTTTTTTCCCTTTAGAAATGGGGCAGGGTTGCCATATGCTCCCTTGTTGTGACAATCTTTTTGCTAATTATCCTATTATTCCACTACCACTACTAAACCCCTGAGAATTTGGAAATCCTTTCAGACTTGAAGGTAACAATAAAATATGGGGAATGTTCAGGATAGCACAAACATTTAACTAATGCAGGAGCAAATAAATAAATTAGTTTGTATTAAATAACTTTAAAAAGAAACAAATTTTAAAAACTGTTGTACTTATTTGTGCAAATTATCTAAGTCCTGATAATTTCGACCATACATCTTTCCAGAAATTATTCCTAACCCTGTCTCCCTGGGCCATCTTCAGTCCTGCCTACCACCTGCATCTTCCAAAACCCTTCTCTCCTCTAGCTTCCTCCTCCTGCTGAAATATAAACTGGGAAGAATGCCCAATGTTCCTTTTCTCTGATTGGGCATCGCTCCACCCGATCATCACAGCGACAATTTTGTTTTATAAATTAAAGTTTATTTCATTATCTTTTCTGTGTTCCCCACCTCAGAATGGTAGGGAACCTGGCCATTGATTTTTGGAGACAGAGATGGAGCTGAAAAATCAGGTGGGACTGTGCAGCAGTACTAGGGCCTCAAACTGACCATGATTATGCTAAAACTTAAACCATGGCTTAAATAACACAATAATTCACAAAAAAGCAAATCATATTATGGCTTAGCTCAATGTGCAAATCCTGCTGAAGTTGGACCTTGAAACCGTTGTTTCTCATTACAAAGAAAGAAATATCCAAAAGAACATTCAAACTGGGATCATAGGCCACTAAGGGCCACCAGCTTTTCAGATCGCTTCCCTTAACAAGCAGTAGGAACAAAACAAACCCAATCCTCTCACCTTGTTATCAGGACTCAGTGCTATATCCTCTATCTCGCCATTGTGTGCCTGGAATTCAAGGGTTTTCTTCATGCTGGGAAACTGGAAGGTGAGAGATAGAAGAGATTTGCACATCCACTCCCACACTCCTAATCCACAGGAGAAGTGCCTCCCAACCCAAAAGCCCTTCTCTTCCTCTCTCCACCATTGTAGCACCAGACCAAAGCCTTGCTGCCCAACATACAGCAAACCATTTCTCCATCTCCCCAAACAGGTGTACCTCCCAGACTCGCAGGAAGCCATCCACGCCACCAGTAGCCAGGAGGGTATGATCGTCACTGAAGCACACAGCCTTCTGCAAGGCATCTGGGCTGGTGTCTGTTTTGACACAGTGCAAGGTTTCCACCGCCACCTCCTTCATCTCACTATGCATGCTGCCATTGCTTTTCTCACTGGGGATGGGGGCCTTGCGCTTCCGTAGATCCTTATCACCAGCACCTAAGGTCACAATGGCACGTAAGGAAATATTCCACAAGCCCCTCTGACCAGAGGGTCCCAAGTTTCCTGGCTGTATTGCAGATCTTGGGTGTTTTCAGCACTGGTGGGATTTTCAACATGTTGTCATTTCCACAGGACATTTACTTTTACAGTGCTATTGTTCTGGGCCTTAGGGTATTAGGAATTCAATTCTGTAGCTAAATAAATGTTAGGCTCTCACCTGCTTTATTGGGAGTACTATCACCACTGCTGCCACCTGTTTTCTGTCCGGATTTAAAGAGGCGGAAACTCAGGATGTGGCAAGTAGCATCCTGCCCTGCAGCAATGACATTTCCTGCCAGCGCCATAGTCATGGTGGCTCGGGTCTCTGTGTCATGAGCGTGCAGCAGTGAGGCAGATAGCTTGCCTTCTCTCCAATCCAGCTGCAAGAAATGCTTGTGGAACAAAGCAGGGAAAGCAAGGCTGAAGCACCAAAAAAGCCTGCAAAAATGGCCCTCTTCCTATCTACCCAAGGGCAAATCTTGCCAGGGATGACCAGATTTGTCCTTCCTCACCACTGTGCCAAAGAGTATGTGCACAGCAGGCACAACTTTCCCCCCTTTTCTTCAAGCATGGTTTGGCCCTTGCCTGAAAAGGACAGCCACAGTAACCCCATAGCCACTCTCTCCCCCAAACCTGGAAGTCCTTTTCATGTTTCCCTTTGGAGCCCATATAATGCTTCTCCCCCCAAACCAAGGAGGCAAGCTTGACTCTCCAGCTTCATGTGCCTCTTGGTGGATATTTGCACCGCGCACTTCAAAAGGCAGCTTCATCCAACGCTGCCCAAACCTTGTTCTGACAGCCGCAGCAGACACCACCGCCCTCCCCGTTTCCCAGCCCGGGCGAGGGGTGCAGCTGTGGGGGCGGGAGGGGAGCTCCCGGCCAAACGCACAGAAGACGAATCCGAGGGCAGGGTGAGGGGTGCAGCCTACTCCCTTGCTCTCCGTACCAGGCCGTTCGTGATCCCCGTCTTGGCAGCGCCGCCTCCCCCCGCGATCAGCGCCAGACCAGCTTCACGGTGTACGCGCAGGGCATAGAGCGGGAACGGAGCCCGGTAGAGCTCGGGCGGCCGGCGAGGGGGCATGACTGGGTCAGGGAAGCCGGGGTCAGCGGGGTCAAAGGTCAACTCATGCCAATTCCGCACTAAGTTGTTCCTTCCTCAACTCCTCTTCGCTCTAGCGCAGCTCTCGGTACACCAGCACTTTGATCTCGACTAGGCAGGCGCAGACCCGACTTCCTCGACGTTGCGCAGGCGCAGAACTCGCAGCACACGTCGGCACAAGAACCGCCGGCCGGCGAGCGAACCTCCAGTCGCATGACCACCGAAAGAACATCCACGTCGCCGCCGCTTGGCGTCTGTAGTGAGGGCGGAAGCCGGGCAAATCACGCGGTGTTTAAGAGGCGGGAGCACGTTAGTGGCCTCAGCTCCATTTTCTTTCTGAGGGGAGGTTTCAGAAGTCGTAAAGGGAAGGTGCAATTACTGGAATTACCATGCTAACCTCCGCGCGTGCGGATCGTGCATTTTATAAAATGCATCTACTGTATCTCCAGACGTTCCCATGAGTGGAATTAGGCGCGTGTTTTTCTGTTGCGTGGCCATGGGCTTAAGTAATGAATCTTTGAGCGCGTTTTCTTTCCTCTTAGGCTTCTTCCTGAGGTGGTGACTGCTCTGACTGATTTAGACTATATGCTCCTTGGGATTTCTTGTTTCTGAACCTTAGGATGATGTAGCTACTGTAAATTTTAAAAAATGCATTTAAATCCGTGAGACCAGTTTGACCATCTTTTAAAAAGCCTCTAGACTCAAAGGGCAAACAAAAACTACAGCGTTATAGGTACTTTTCTATAGGATGACTATGAAGATGCTTTAAATTCCACAAATAGGGACAGAATAGAAATAGGCCAGAAACATACAGTAAAACAGTAGTGTTAATTTGTGGCTCTTGATTGCAAAAGAGGCAAATGCCCATGTTTTCTCACTAGTTCAGCTAATCAGTGCAAAGGATAGGATTGCTAAAGAGACAGAAACAAAGATTTCTCCACATCCCGCATCCTTGCTCTAGATAGGACTTCCACATCAGGACTGCAATTAATTTTATGTGTCTCTCTGCTACTGTTTTGTGATCAGCCAGATTTTTGCAGCCAGATCTAGTAGGGTTAGATCAGTACAGTATCACTGGTTTCCTGATTAACCTTAAACAGGGGTGGATACAGTATTCAATTTCAGATATATTTGGGAACAAGAGTGATGTCGCTAAGGTAGAGATCTGCTGGAATAAGATAAAATTATCCATTACTGGATTTCCAACGGCAGTCAAAAGCTAACATTCATTATTACTGAGCAAGGACTGAAGACATAATCTACTGTAGTCCCGTTAGTGAAGCTAAACTGGCTCATCTACAGTACCCTGTTCCTGGGGAAGAAATCACACGTGAGCTGGTTCACATATTGCACTAAGCCAGTTATGGCGAATCTTGTGGGCTCGGCATGTCAACAATTTGGAAAATGCCTAACTTGACTCTGCTGGTGTGTCACACACACCAAAACAAAAGAGAAACAATTCTTTACATATTTATTTTTTAAAAAATACAGTCCAATCGTGTGATGCTATGTATTATATAAAGAAACGTTAAATAATTACAAAAATGAAACACAAGTAAAACAAATTCAGTTTCTTTGGTAACTCAAACAGAATAGTTGTTGTTGGGTGTTGGTGAATGCTAGTATGTCACCCAAAACATCGTGGTGTGTCACCTTTGGCCTGCGTGTCCTAGGTTCACCATCACTGTACTAAGCCATAATGTGATTGGTTTGATCTTGCTTTAGTGTGTTATGTGAACCAAGGCATTATGGCTTATTCCAGGCCAAACACAGCTTAATGCAATGTGTGAATCCCCATTTGCCTTAAAGCCTCCTAATTACATGACAAAGCTATTTTTAGGTGGCTATTGTAGCTGCCAGGCAAGGAACACTTTGCTGTTTAAAGTGAGGCAATCTATCTTTAGTGAACATTGTGGAAGCAGTAGGTAAAAAGCTAAGGTGCAGGATACTATACCAGAAAAAGGAAATTGGTGACTCCTGACTGCCCCAGAAGGAAGAGCACAAGTAGAAGATTAAGTAGAAGTCAGTGATGGGGCAAGGGAGTGATTGATGGACTATTAAAGCAATTATCAACTTAAGTCACAAGGAAGGTAATGTCTAGATGCTTCTTCTGGGAAACAGGAGCAGATGTTTATTGGGTAAAGGAGGTAGATGTACTGACTGGTTTCTTTCCCAATGATTAGATATTCCAGATTTATAATTCAGTGTTCGAAAAGTAGTAGTTCATGTACCTTGCACTCAACTATGGGAATATGTTTATGGTAAATAACTGAAAAACAGGAAGCTCCTTCTAGCACAAGATACTCTAGAAATTGGGATAGATGTGTCAGTAGTAGCACAGCTGGTAAATACAAGGGATTTAAACACGAGAACTTTATCAGATGGAATAAAATACCTTAAATAGATGGGTTTACAAGTATATGTAAACACAGATTCAACTAAGGCCAAGCCCATAATATTTTGCTTCCTGAGATAAGATGGTGTTCTCTCTGATATGACACAGATTGGGGGGGGGGGAGTACAGGTGGTCCTTGTTTATGTCCACTCATTCAGCAACCAAACTTACGACGGTGTTGAACTAGTGGTACTTACAACTGGTCCTCATACTTACATCAGTCACAGCGTCCCCATGGTCATGTGATCACCACTTGCGACCTCCTTTGGGGAAGCCAGCAGGAGGTCTCAAATGACAACTATGTGACATCTTTGCTTAACAAACTGCAGTGATTCGCTTGACAACAGCAACCAGAAGTGCTGGAATTTTCATCGCTAAGTGGCAGTCACGTGATGTCATGCTTTACGACCACATCACTTAGTGACAGAAATTCTGGTCCCTATTACCATCATTAAGCAAGGACTACCTGTAGCTTGTAGGTCACATGAAATGCCCAACCTCTTTTTTGCAGTCACTGGAATCACACCATGTGGTACCAAAAATCAACTGTGCAGTTTTCTGTCATTTTTTAATGGGAAAAAGGTATGTTAAACTTGGTAGGATTAATACATCTATACAAGTATCTAGTTATATCATTACATCACTTTCCTTCCTCTGCAGTCCTTGGTTGCTAAAAAGAAAAAAAAATATGTCCCTTATTCTAAAAAAACACATTGCTTTCCCTGCTACACAGAAAAGCCAACTGTTTAATGTTGGGACAAAACAGGGTTCACCTATCAATCCAAAATGTAATTTGTTTGTTTGTGGCTTAATACGTTCTGGGAACCCAATTTATTGTGATTTATTTGTGAGATTGTGGTTATCCAAGCTATGATTTGGCAAAATGAATAAAAGTCATTGGCTAGACCTGCCCAGTTGGAGTCCAACTTGGAGATCTGAGCAACTTTATCCAACAAATAGCCAGAATATTCCTCACAGTGGCCTTGCAGATGATCCTATGGCCCATCCCTGCCCAGCAGGACCAAATCACCCTAAATAGAACTGCTGGATGTAAATCAGTAGACTCAATGACCGTGGAGAAATATTGATATTTTGCCCCCCACTATCACCATGAGGTAATCATTAATATATGCTCTTATCTGTGTTCAGTCAGACTCACTTCAAATCTTCCTCCAACAACACTTCAAGTGTTTTTCCTGGCACTTCATCTACTGGAGCTGCTCAGTACACCAAGGTGCACTCACCATCAGCACCCAGCGAGAAGCAGTGTAGGGGCAATGCAGTCCAAGGACGCAGCCAGCCCCCCACTGCAGGCAGCAACTAAGGCCATGGCCAAACCACTCACCAAATCCTTGGGGAAAATCCCAAGCTCTCTCTAGAAATCTATTGATCCATCAATCACCTGGGGTGAGCCAAGTGAATAGGCTGTACCTCCCTATGATAAGCTGAAGGGCAATCATAGAGTGATCTGTTCATGGCAACAGACTGATATCAAAGTTCTCCACTGCTGGATCATGCCACGACTGTCCCAAGACAAAAAACAGCAGCCATCAATTACTTGGGACAGGTCCATGGTTGTCATGAAAAACACAAACTCCTAAGCCACCCCAGATTCAATGCCAACATGTGGCATATTGAAATCCCCGAGCACTAATAGCTTCAGGGACTCTAATGCCAATCCAGCAACAGAATCCAGCAGCTCAGGCAGGGAAGCTGCCGGCTAACAGGGAGGTTGGTACACCAGCAGTAATCCCAATTGTTTAAGCCCAACTTCAGCCAAAGCATGTTGCATCTGATTATCTGTGGAATAGAGCCTCTGAAAGCCTGCAAGGACTCACAGATGGCAACAGCCACTCTTGTCCCCTCCCCTCTTCTTGGGTCTCAGCTGATGCAAAACCCGAAAATGCGTGAGCATAGTTCTAAGAGACATACGCTCCCCTCTGGGCCCAACCAGGTCTGTGCCTTCACTCATGATAAGATCATGAATGAGAGCAGCTTTGTTGCCCACTGATCTGGCATTCAAAAGCAGCAACCAGGGCCACTAAGGATCCAATAGCCTGGCACTGAGGATAGAAGCCAAGGGCTGGCCAGCAGACCACTTTCAAACAATGGGCCAGGTGTCCATGAATGTGGCCCACTCTCAGGTTCCTACCATACTTCCCTCTGCCCATCACCTTCATGATGCTCCTGCCTGCTCTCCATCCCACTCCCACCTCCTGCTCCTTCCTCCAAGGCCAAGGTACACATAATCCCACCCACTCCCAATACCCAAATCATTGCCCCAATGACCCATCCCACATGGGACTCAGCCTACCCAAGCATTCTGTGGCCTCAGGGGAGCCAAACTCCTACACCCAGATCCCATCTACCACCCCACCCTATAGAGGGGGGAAGATTACACCCCAAGAGATGGAAGGTGCCAAGGAAACACCACCCCCCAGAGTCCAGGAAACGGCCCCCACCAATCAGCTCCAAAACCCAGCGAGATAGCCAAGAGTCAGGGTCACCAACAGCCCCTAAGTTATCAGTGGGGGCCCAAACACAGCTGGAATAAGAGGACCATTTTTTAAAAATGTGTAGGTTTGTTAGATTTATATCCTGCCTTTCTTCTCAGAGCTCAAGGTGGGATCCATAGCACTGTTTTCTTTCTCACAACCACCCTGTGAGATTGGGCTCAGAATGAGTGAGTGATCCAAAGTCACCCAGTGAGCTTCCATGGCTGAGGATGGACTCAAGCCTGAATCTCCCTAGTCCTAGTCCAATACCTTGAGCC